GTATTTTTGTTATATTTCGTTCTCGATTGGGTATTTACGCGATACAATATAAATAGATTGCCTAGGTTAAAAATAAATTGTATTAATGAAAATGACTCAGGAAAATACACGGATTAGGTATTTTGAGATAATTCCAATAAGGAATTATATAAAAAAGCCATAAGTTCATATACAGAGCAGCTGTTCCAAAAATAGTTTAACAAAAATGAAATGGAGACAAAATAAATTTAAACATATCAAAAGCCTTCGTTTGATGACGTATCAGATTATTACGTCAGAACTGTTAGGCCTTCTCTCAAGAGGGTGTTAGACATACGGTATATATTATACCGGGTGCGTCTCAACTCCTATAACTTTTTTATTTTTTCAGATAAAAAAATGAGATTTGGTATGTTAGTATATGACATAAATTAGGATTAATTGACGTATTCAATTGTTTTTGGTCACCTCCTGTTTCACCGGAAATGGCTACAACTTTTGATTTTTAAATGGCATCCTCGGTATTTTTTTACTTTATTCAATAGAAAATGACACTCTGAATCGAATGACATATCATATGTCAACTTTTGACATATGCGCTCAAAAACAAATTCTATTTTAAATTTCAATCTAGAGTGGCATGACTATGTTTTGACACTAATTTTTAATTGTTCCATGACACTAATTTTTAATCAAGGGGCCTTGGAAAAATAGATTTGATCGTCTAATGTTTTTAGTGTCTTGTCGTATTTTTCGTATCGTATTTTTAATCATATCTCAATTTTTTCAAATGGAACGAGGGTGGCTCATTAGCATATTTGGAAAAAGCATTTTTTTACGAATAATTTGATATAGTCTATAAAATGAATAACTTTGAATTTTGACCGTTATTTTTTACCAACATGGCAAATATAAAATCCCTATATCAAAAAAGTTACTGATATTCTTTAAATTGAGTGCCTGAACGAATCAGATAGGTAACTCTTTTTACTTTCGTGAAATAGAAAAGGAAAATAATAAAACAAGTGACAGTTCTTCCTCTTCTTGCAAAAATCAACACAAAATGTCATAATTCTCAAAAGTAAAATGTCATCAGCTTTTGACATTTCTAAATATCAAACCAATGCCGTCTCTCTCTAATAGAACAGCCTCGGAGCGAGATTTATGACGTCACGCTAGTTAGATACTACGGATTAATAAATATGTTGTAGAATACATGGAAAACATAATTATTCCTCGTATTTTTGGTTTGTATTTTAAAAATGATATAGTTTACATGAAATATACGTAATATACAGTTAATAAATACAATATATATATAAATATATATATATATATATATATATACATATATACCTATTTATAGTAATAAATACTTTGGCAAATAAACTATGAACCATACAAATGCAGCAAATGTTTTACAATATACAAATAATGAATAGGTACATAAGATAATGGGTAAAATGTAAAATATATTTTAAATTTTGGGGTTGTCGATCTAATCTATAAAAAAACATTCAATATCTACTAATAGTGATGTATTATTATTTGCATTCACAAAATTTATATGAATATTTTGCAAGTATCAATGTTCGAAAAATTATATTTGCAAATAATACAATATCATAGAAAAAAAGGCGTCAGTGATGGCCATGAAATAAAGATCGCTGTCATTTTATATGTAAAATTATTCTAAAATTTTTGATTTTTTTAGGATAAATTTTGTGAATACAAATAATAATATATCATTATTAGTAGATATTGAATGTTTTTTGTTAAATTAGATCGATTTTCAAACCCCAAAATTCAAAATATATTTTACATTTTACCCATTATCTTATGTACCTATTCGTTATTTGTAGGCATACCTATTCATTATTATAAATAGGTATATATATATTGTATTTATTAACTGTATATTATGTATATTTCATGTAAACTATATCATTTTTAAAAAACAAACCAAAAATACGAACGGTTAATCTTAGATATAGAGTGTTTAATATCAAAATTCATAAAATTTTACAGAGAATTTAAGTACCTAATAAAAAATGGGGGTGTCCATTTAAAATAAGAAAGTTGCTGTCAACTTTCGGTATTTCCGGAAGTGTCGCCATATTGAAAATATTTTTAATCGATAGATCTCGTTATGAAACAATGATGCACAAAAAATCTCCGATCTAGATATTGTAGTTCTCTAGATAATATAATGCATAATGCACGTTCACTCTGGGACACCCTGTATAATGTCGCGGACTAAAAAAAAATCAAAAATATACAAGACACAATTTTATTATTGAAAAATTAGCAGTATTCTCGTACGTTTGTTTATTATTTTTGACGGTACCCTCGTATAAAGGTAGTACCGGTATTCCTACCTCCCCCCGGGTCTCCTTGCAACTCGATCGGCATCTGTTTTTCTCGGAATCGGTCACGGCACGCTGCGATTTCTCCGAAACGACAGGTACCAGCGGCGGTCGCAGGCGGTTCTAGGAAACGAGCGTGGTACTCTAGTACGAACGCGGACAGGGGGTTCCTCCGTTGTTATGGTACCATTGTCGCGGTACTGGCCGGCAGGCAGGCTCCGCTGGCAGTAGTACTGAACTGTCTTGGGCGTGTTTCATTTAAATCGGTACCACTTCGAAGTGGTTCCGAAACAAATAAATACATTGTGTTAAAAATAGCAGATATATGTATATACTAATATAAATATAAAATTCACTGATTTAATCACGATCCTGCTTAAACCACTCAACGTAAGAAGCTCAATTTTGGCATACAGGTTGATTCTAGGGTGTAGAGGTTCGATAAGAAGGTATTTTTCGAAATTCCAGTTCCAAGGGGGTGAAACCACCCCTCAAATGTTACAATATTTTTTATATTAAAACGGTCAGGTTTCCGAAAAAACGCTAAAACGCGAATATTTTATTTTGGTTTTTTACATATTTTAAGATTTTTTAAAAATGTATACAGGGTGTTTCGAAAAATCTGGTCATTGATTAATCACGATCCCGCTTAAAGCGCTCGACGTAAAAAGCTGATTTTTGGAAAACGGATTGACTTTAGGGTGTAGAGGTTCGATAAGAAGGGATTTTTCGAAACTCGAATTCTAAGGGGGTGAAACCACCCCTCAAATATTAGAGTATTTTTTATTTAAAAACCGGTGAGGTTTTCGGAAAAACTCTTAAACCTAGTATATTTTATTTTGTTGTTCTACATATTTTAAGATTTTTTATAAATTTATACAGGGTGTTTCATAAAATATGACCACTGAGTAATCACGATTCTGCTTAAACTGCTTGACGTTTACAGCTGATTTTTGGCAAACGGAATGACTGTGGGGTGTAGAGGTTCGATAAGGAGGGGTTTCTCGAATCTCAAATTCCAAGAGGGTGAAAACGCCCCTCAAATATTACAATATTTGTTATTTAAAAAACGGTTAGTCTTTCGGGATAACGCTTGGACAAGCATAATTTATTTGGTTTTTTTTGCATATTTGGAAATTTTTTAAAAAATCATACAGGGTGTTCCAAAAAGTTGTGAGAAAATTTTATCCAGTTTGTATGTTAATGGAAATTCTTGCTTTGCTTTATCATCACCATTACAAATGATTAATTCGACGCGAACAAAGTCGCGGGTACACGCTAGTTTTTACGTAAAAACACCTGCTCCATCTATCTAAAATATTTTCAGCAGCAGTTACAATGTTGCCGCATCGTTTGAAAAGTGGTAGCATCTTTGTTAATTTAAATGGGACATCTGGTATATTATTACATTTTTAGAAATTACTTTCATATACCAATAGTTTTCGAGATAAAAAAATAAAACATGACGATATTAGGATTATACTTTAAGATTATGGGTATAGCTGGTTGCATATCATTAATCGACTTCGCGCTAATAATTCCCATTTCAATTGAGCAGTCTTTAACTAAACTAAGTAAAAACACTCGGTATCAACATTGAACACATACACACACACAAAATTCGTTTTGATAAAATTATTTACTCACGATCTTATTTACATTCGTCAACCTTATCTCCGAGTCCTTATCAATTTTGCCTCGATTCAAATGAATCATATTGCCTACGAAAAAAAAATGTGAAAGTTATGACAGTTAATTGCGATGATTACAATGTCAAGACGCACCAGATTTTGTTTTTAGTGGGGAAAAATTCGATATAAATCCCATTTTTTAGCGTGAGTACATTAGAAAGAAGGTTTTTAAGTTATTTTTATCATATTTTGTTGTTTAGAGTCCTTGATGTGCTATTACATCTCTTTAAAAGTCTCTGATAAGGATATTGTACATGTAACGACATCTGTGGGGAACAATTAAAACCAGATCAACAATTTGGCGGGCTCTTTGAATACGTTTTAAGCTTTTTTCCTGTTTTTTTCTTGAAATCACATTAATCAATCAATCAATAAGTGTTTAGTTGTTATATTTAAGTAAAATATACCTAATTTCACTCTGGTAATGCTAAAAAAACATTAGTCAAAGTAGTGAAGCTCTGTCTAATTCAATATAATTATTCGTAAGATAGTCAAAATAATAATAATAATATTGAAAAATATCTTATTTAGGATATGTATCTTTAGGTAAACATTGTACGTACTTAACTTTATTATTTCTGAGAACAACCGAATATATTGCTAATCTTTTTTTGTTAGCATATGCGGTACAATTTCTACAAAAGAACAAACAATTCTGTGTATAGATAAAGGGATATAATACAATATGATCGAAAAAAACGGCGTCAAGATCGCTGTCATTTGATCGTACGATACAATCATTGTATAATTCTATTAATCAAGAATATACAGGGTGTCCCAGAAATAAGTGAAATAATAATAATAATTTTAAGAGAAGGACGGCTGGGGAACGACGATCGATAATAATTTTAGCGAGGTCGATCTCTAGACGTGTTTTTTTTTCGATCGTATGGTAGTGTAGTATTGTCTTCATTTATTATCGTGTATATTCGATAAAACAATCCTTTTTTCTCCTTTTTTTCAGGTTATACGTCGATATGGAAGTGGGCGTCGACAACTACCTGCACAAAAAGTTCAAGAAACAGTTGAGCATCGACCACCACCGGCCGCAGAATGACAAAGAGAACAAAGACTCGTCCAGAAACGTGGAGTCGCGCGAGGAAAAAAACCCCACCATCACCCCCCTGATCTACGACCACTCCACAGCCCCCACCACCATAGTCACAGTGCCAAATCCAAGTACAAACCCACCCAGTTCCACCACAAAGTCTTCCATATCAGTAGAAATCAACACGGGGGTACCCGCCCCATTGAAACGGAGCATATCATACGCTGAATACGACCCAATCACCAACCAACGTGTGGTGGCATCGCCACAACAAACCATTACGTCTTCCAGTGCGGCAGATGATCTTAGTTATTACAGAAGAGACTCCTGTACTCCGCCAAACAATGAGGAATATGACGGTATGAAATCGGACGATCCTCAGTCAACTCCAGATAAAAACTCCACCGGAAAGTACGTTTGTACGTACTGTAACTTAGTTTGCTCGAAACCCAGCGTCTTACAGAAACACATCAGGGCCCATACGAACGAAAGACCTTACCCTTGTAACAGCTGCGGGTTCAGCTTCAAGACTAGGTCGAATTTGTACAAACACTGCAGGTCGAGGACCCACGCGAACAGGCTCAACAAAGCACAGGAAGAAATCACTGGTGAGGTTTTCAAGCAAAACATAAACCACTCAGTTCATCAAGGGATGGAAATATCTGAAAATGCCTCGGGAGATTTAAAAAATAAACCGTATAAACCCCGATTTCATACAGTCAAAAGGTTCCTGGATAAAGAAGCTTCAGAAGATGACAGGGGGTTCAGTAGTACAGACCTTTCGCATCATATCAACGAGATTATCAGCAAAAACAACTCGATCATCAACTCAAACGATCACGGATTGCTTAAAAAACGATACTCGGACTCGGTAGATAGCGTTAACAATAACGAATACGTGCAGCAAAGAGTTAACAGGCTTGAAGGAACGTACGTTGCTGACCCCAAGCCTGAAGAACCTCTGAATTTGACGAATAAAAACAGAAAAAGGTCTATGAGCGAGGTGGCGGAACCAGTAATACAAAAAAGCCTCATCAAGGAGCTGTTATTGAAGAGCCTTTCCTCCGATATGCAATGCCTGTACTGCAAGATGATCTTCCAAACTGTCACTGAGCTGGAACTTCACAAACTCAGAAGCTGTAAAGGTAAACCCTCAGACGCCAAATACACCAGAAGTAGTTCGGTGAATGTGGCATCAATCCTGACCAAAAACAAGAACGCCTTTGACAGTATGCCTCAGTTCCAGAACAGACTATTTCCTCTAAATTCTCCTGGGCCATTTTTGGGTAAAACCAGACTGGTTGAAAGCGACAAAAGTAAGTCTTTCTCGTTCGACGGTGTGAATATTCCCTTACCAATAAGTCCAGGAGATCGCACTCCACGCTCACCCAATTACTCACTCTCTCCGTTACCTTTTAAAGATGACAGGAATAAGGCTGTGAAGATGTTTGGAGGTCAGGTAAAGGTCCACAGTGGGGGTGGGGAGACTAAAAGCTTTCGTATCGAGAACAAAGAAGATAAACAGGAAGTCGATAGTGGTTTTGTCGAGTATGGTGGCAAGTTAAGTGAAAATCGTGTGGTTAAATCGAGTCTTCAATCTGGAGGAACGGTTTTGACTAACCAAGCTAACAAGGAAGAACGAAGGGTGTACTACGACGTGATACGAGTATACGAGAACACTTCAGTGTCTCCTAACATCGACATGGCGAATTTGGGAAAGCCTCACTTCAACTATGAGAAAAGAGAGGAGAAAGTATCAATTTCTGAACCTCCTCTACGACCACCTCTTGGTGACGTGGTGCTTTCAAAGAACGAAGTCCCTAGTCCTTCACACAAATACACCAACATCGCGGATTTCAGTCAAAACGCCATAAAACTCCTCACGCCGAACATCAAACAACCCAGCATCTCCCTTTCCAGTCTCGTTATACCTTACAACGATCCGAAACCAAGCTTGGTTTTGCACAGTCCCAGACTTAGGAATGAGGAAGTTATCACTCCCTCCGAGAACGAGATTGAGGGAAAATTCAGTAAAAAACGAACCGTTTTGGAGAAGCAAATGGACATATCTTCGCCGGTGAGTAATCTTTATAACCCCATGAATTTATTTGTTAACGGAAAGGTAGTTAGATATGTCCCTGGTATTCCTGGACCAATAGCCGCAGAAGGACCGATTGAAATGATGTACGGGAGTAACATCGTGGCTGTGGGAAAGCCTCAGAAAGAAATACTATCTCCCATGCAACCTCCGGTTATTTTGGACAGGATAATTTCACCCAAACCGACTCAAACAACTCAAAAATCCTTTCTTTCTGTAGAAAAACTTACAGAAAAACCCACACTTTCCAGAATGGAGCCTCCAGAGAACAAAACAAGTCTCAGCGAACGGAGGAGTCCTCTTAAACTCCCTGAGCAAAGATCTCCGTCTAAGGAACTTAAAACAAGCAGTTCAGAAACGTTGGGGGAACCGAAAAAGTTCATTAGGCCGAATAGTCTCGCTCTAAAACCGACCACAGCAGCTTTGAAGCTGAATCACGGGCTTACACCGACTATTTTCAATCAGATTCTGATCAGTCCTGATACTCCCAGAGTGGCGAAGAAGTACGCTCAACAGTTCCTGAACGGCAACTATTTCACGTACTTGGGATTAAAGAGTTCCACGAAGCCTGTGTACTGTACCCTGAACAAGACCCAGCCTTTTTATGTGCCCCATTTTAAGAAATTGAGCATGTATTCGGAATGGAGACAGCAAGATACGAAAAATGACAGGTTGTACGTGAGTGCTTACGATTCCAGGCAGAAGAACCAGAGGTATACCACTGCTGGGAAGACTGTAGCGGATTTGATCATACATTCTAGTTATAAGGTAAGGACGCTTTTATCTCAGCAAAATAAAACACTAAATCACCACAAACAGTTTTACTTTTACACTGGACGCGCGTTTCGCTAACCATGTTAGCATCATCAGCAGATGATTATAAACTAAAGTACAATCTACAAGTTGAGCGTTTATATACTCGCTCAGTGGGCACCGAGTGGGCGTGGCAAGATCTAGCCAGCCGAGTCAGAGCCCACCGAGCGTAACAGTTCGATTTCCGCCACTAGAGTAGTAGGAAAAAAGAACTTGAAGGAATTGGACCGTTGTCTCTGTTCATACTATCTTTACATTTATTAATTCTGATGCTTTCATATGCATCTAATCGCCTGTAATTTGAGAACAACGACAGATTACCATTTCTAGATGTATTGGTTATTGGAAATACTAATAATTGCCTGGAATTTGATATCTATAGGAAAAATGCCACTACATGCAGATATATTCTTAATGAATCATATCATAGTGTTGAACATAAAATGGCTAGTTTAAATTTCTTAGTTTTCCACTTTCCAACGCAATATATGAAATAGAAAGAGAATACATTAGGAATGTAGCTGAGTGTAATGGATATTCTCCTTCACTAGTTGATAAAATAATTAGAAAACGTAGGTATAGGTTAATGATTTCTGAAAATTCGACTTTTCAATTGGAGAAAGATACATCAAAATATTTTTCAATACCGTTTGATAGAGAGTTATCCCGTGGTCTAAAAGGAATTTTTAAGAATGTCAATTATAAACTTGTGTATAGTGCTAATAATAAATTACAACAATTATTAGGTAATCCAAAGGATAAAACACCTCGGAAAGGTCGGGTATTTATGAAATTTCTTGTAAAGATTGTAATCAGAAATATGTTGGGCAAACTAGAAGATCAATATTAACTAGATTTAAAGAACATTTAGCTCAGATAAGATATGGTAGACCGGATAAATCTTGCCTTGCCGAACATATTGTTGATAAAGAACATTGTATAGAGTTTAATAATTTAACATTAATTAAACAAGTCTCAAATTACAGGCAATTAGATGCATATGAAAGCATCAGAATTAATAAATGTAAAGATAGAATGAACAGAGACAACGGTCCAATTCCTTCAAGTTCTTTGTTCCTACTACTCTAGTGGCGGAAATCGAACTGTTACGCTCGGTGGGCTCTCTGACTCGGTTGGCTAGATCTTGCCACGCCCACTCGGTGCCCACTGAGCGAGTATATAAACGCTCAAATTGTAGTTAGTTTATAATCATCTGCTGATGATGCTAACATGGTTAGCGAAACGCGCGTCCAGTGTAAAAGTAAAAGTGTTTTGGTGTATTGTGGTAATTTAGTGTTTTATTTTGCTGTGTATGTGTGTAACTACATTCAGCTCTCTACATCACTGTCTTAGTGGTTTAACTCGTTTTTTTTACAGTTTGTGGTATCAGAATTGCCTAGCAAAAATGACAAGAGCGATGATGGTTCCAAATCGCTTGTCGGTGGTTACGAAAGTACCGAGGACTCGCCATACGTCAGAGGAAGAGGTATATAGTACCCTCAGATTATACAGGGTGGCGCACCTCATTCGTCTCGGTTGATTATACGAAAACGGAAAGATTTAGAAACAAAATTTTTTATGGGTATATGTAGAAAGGCGATATGCATAATTTAAAAATATTTTCAAATGTACAGGGTGTGTCAGAACTAAGATCCATACCAAAGTTATATTTTTTTCGTATGGAACACCCGGTATTTTATTTCATTTTTGGATCCTCGGGCATGAAATAAGGCATTTATTAAAAGGGTTTAATACGTTTAAATGTTTTGGTTTTTGAGATATTTAAAGATATTTAAATATGCCATATGCTATAATAAAAAAGTTTGTCAACACCCTGTACGTTACTTTTCAGAATTAATTCTTGTGCTGACTTTGAAGCCAGAGAAATATACTTTACTAAAAAATTTGGCGAATAAGGTGCGCAATCCTGTATATAAAGATATTAATACGATTCCTCAATACAAAATATCTTTTTTTTTCTAAAATTTTGCAGGTAGAGGTCGCTACGTCTGTGATCAGTGTGGAATACGCTGCAAGAAGCCTTCCATGCTTAAGAAGCATATCAGAACACACTCGAATGACAGACCCTATACTTGCAGCCATTGCAATTTTAGGTCAGTATTGTTTAACTTCAATGCTCAATGTTAAATTTCTTATTTTCGATGAAATTTCAGCTTCAAGACCAAAGGAAACCTGACGAAACACATGAAAAGCAAGTCGCATTCGAAGAACTGCAACGACGGTGAATCTTCAGGTCCCTCAGCTCACATGAGCGCGTCCCAGAGCTCAGGATCGGATACGGATGACAGCGGCATGGATAGCAGCGGTAAGACCTATAGTTTTTTAACAAAAAAAATCTCTATTAATTCCTTTTTTCTCTAGATGAATCGTTGACCCGACAACAAGAACATGAAGCAGCTTATGGATTACTTTCTTTGTCTCAGAAAACCACCTCAAACGCTACGGGAGTCTCAGAGATCCTAAGCCCTTCCGGCATGGCACAAACGGGCAGTTCTTCCTCGAACAACGACCAGATCATGACCACGGAAGAGATAGCTTACGTCAGCAAGACCAACTACGCCAAAAACAAGTTCCTCGATAACTTAAACTACAAGCCTAGCAAGGAAATCGGTGATAATATCTCTAGCGAAGAAAGAAACGATTCTAGGGACGAAGAACAAAGTCTGGCAACGTATCTGGGCAAAACCACAATGTCCAGGCCTTTGACTTATCCGTACACCTCTTTGCTGGTTTCTGGAAGTAAAGAGGTACAAACACCGGTCTTTGAAGAAGTTAAAAGAGTGATAGCAGAAGAAAAATCGGAACCCAAGAACATAAAACAGTTTCACGTGATACAAAAGTATGCTGCCCCTCCTTCGCCGGAACCTGCCTATCCAGAACCACCTATAGAAAGAACTGTAATCAGTAAAGTACCAAACAACGTTCCCAAGTACCTTGCCAGTCCCGTTCCGACCTTGAAAGTAAACGATGTGGTTATCCAGGACAATCCTTCGGAAAGGAAACGGAAAATCACTTTTGCTGACAGTAACTATCAGGGGAAAGTACACAGAAACGACGAGGTAATGGATTTATCTATGGCAAACAGTGAAAAAAGGGACGTACATCCTGTTCCCGAGCCTGGAACGTTTATAACCTATGAAGAGTTGAAAATGAACCAAGAAATATACTCCCAACCTCGGAATTACTCGCCTAGAAGCCCCCAAACGACTGAAAAAGAGCCTCTACTCATACTCAAGCATCAAACACCTCACGAACCGCCTCCTCAAACTCACTACAGCTACCCTGAGAGTGATCCTCAAAACACCAACAGCAGTGACGCTCCGAAAATCGTGGAATACGACAACAGCGCTATGGAGACTTTGGCGGACGTGGCCACCAAGCAGGTGAAGTTGGAGAAGAATATGCTGGCTAAGAGCGTGGCCACAGAGTACTTGAAGCTGATGACGCAGAACGAGGGACCGGAAGGTGGTACCAGGGACGTGGGGGCCTTGATAGGGTTGCACAAAGATGTTAACGATCTCCTTGTCAAGCCTGAGGGGAACAAGAGCTGTTCTATCTGTTCGAAAAGTTTTAACAAGCCTTCGCAATTGAGGTAAGTCAATTTTAAGTATACCTTATACAGGGTGTCCCAGAAATAAGTTCGAATATTTAAACTGGTAAAAAAATTGAAAATTCGAGATATTGAAGAAAAATTTGGAATTTTTTTAGTTTTTAATTAAAAAACATCATTTCTTGATAATATGGCAAGATAAGTATTAGATTAAATTTACAAGAAAGAAAATCCAGAAAAGAGATCCAGTGGTTCTCCAAATTTTAGGAAAGAATCATTTTTTTGGAAATTTTCAAAGTAAAAAAACTCCGTTATTTTGGACTTAACGATAACTTGGACTTTGAAAAACGATAAAGAGAAAATATGTTTCTTTTATCGAGATCTACCACCCTTTAAAATACTTGCACTTATTTCTGGGACACCCTGTATATTTTTTGTCTTAGTTTACTTAAATTTTCGTAATAATTTCGATAAATACAGGGTGTCCAAGAAAGAAGTACTAGTGTTTTATAAAAAAACATAATTATAATAAATTTTAATATAAAAAATATGAAAAAATGTTAGTGCGAATATCTCCTAAAAAAATAGAGCTCTTGAGATGAATCAAAAAACAAACTATCGAGAAAACATCCACCCAGATGATAAAATGATTTTTAAATTCCTTGCTTTGTTAACGTACTACACAGGGTGTTTCAAACATTCACCAAAATATCAACCTTTTGTTTTTCCCTCGTATAATTGACATATGGCAACTTTCGTGTTTAATTTAGAAAGAGATACTAAAAAGATAAACAAAAAGAAGAAAAAGTAAAACAGATACTAATTTAGCTACAAATTGCTTAAAAAATCATCAAAATCCGTGAAAAAAACACGTGAAAATTTAAAGGTGCCTTTTTCGTGCTCGTGAGTGTATTATAGTTTTTTGTGTTTATTGTTTATTTTTTTTTGTAGGTTGCACATGAATATACACTACCTAGAGAGACCCTTTCGTTGTGATTCGTGCTCTGTAAGTTTCAGGACCAAGGGGCACCTACAAAAACACGAAAGAAGTGCTAGTCATTATAGTAAGGTTAGTTTCCAGGGTTTTTTTTCAATCTATATACTTTTTTTATAAAGGCTGAGTAGAGGGAGATGGCCGATTCTACGCCAGGATCAAGGATCAGGCGCACTGCGCATGCGCTAGGAGGAGGGGGCTGACACCTGTCAAACGTCAAACCGTTTGACGTTTGACAGATGACAGGTTTAACGTTTGACATTTGACAGATTTGACGTTTGACAGGCTTGACGTTCGATAGATGACGTTTGACAGATGACGTAAGACAGGTTTGACGTTTGACAGATGACGTTTGACAGGTGACAGCCCCTTCCTCCTAGCGCATGCGCAGTGCGCCTGATCTTTGATCCTGGCGTAGAATCGGCCATCTCCCTCTACTAGGCTGCCGAACTTTATAAAAGCTCCCGAACTGGGATTAGGACCACCCTGTAGATTATATCAAAGTGAATAATAATAATAATCCTATTTCTTTTATACTAGTTATCCTCATCTCCCGCCCAATCCTCGTCAGAGCCGAGGCCTTTCAAGTGTTCAGACTGCAACATAGCGTTCAGGATACACGGCCACCTGGCCAAGCATCTGCGCTCCAAGATGCACATCATGAGGCTGGAATGCCTGGACAAGATACCTTTTGGCCTGTACGCGGAACTGGAGCGGTCCAACAGTTTGTTGACCGAAATCAATACTAGCGACGTGGACCAATGCCTAGAGAGTTTAAAGGTATGTGAAGCCATTAGAACCCTAGATCATATATATACTTACGTGGATAAATCAACGCCATAAGTTTAGTATTAAAAAATATGTCTCCAACATCACGACGTGCCATTTTCAAACCTTCTTTATTGCACTTATGAAACGTTCAGTAGGTTTGTCTTTTTCCAGGACTTTGAAAAAGTTGAAGGTATTTCCAAAATAATCACAATTTTATACAGTTTAGGAAGTACAAATTACACAGTGTTATGGAAAGCAACTTTTCATTGTCATCATATTGTCATAATCTTATTTCCATTGTGCAACGACGCTTGTTTTTAAATTAGTTTGATTACTTTTTTATCCTGTTACATTTTTTGTATATTTTATTTTTGTAACTTCAAAATTAAAGACTTTAATAAAAAAATCTTTATTGTGTTGGTAAAATGTTAATTACAATTACTTATTACACCCCCTTGTATTGACGCCACGCTACGCCGCTGAATGTTACTCTTTATTGGTTTTAAAATGGTTTTAAATTATAGTCACTTTATATTAATAGGCAACCAGTAATACCTGGAATTTTAAGAAAATTATTCTTATACAGGGTGGTCCGAATTCTATTCCGGAAACTTCAGCAGAATAGTGCTGTAGATAAAAATATGTAAAAACGTATGTCCTAAAATGCTTGATTTCGGAGATACAGGGTGTAGAAGTTTCATATTTAATTCGATTTTTTCCAAATAATTTCCAAAGTAACGTCAATATTTGGATGAAAATTGGTGTCTCGGAGTTTTTTGACATGAAAAATTTGATTTTGATGTCAGTATGACCCCTACTTATAGAGGGCGCCACCTACATGTGTTTTAACTGTTATGAAGATTAATAACGTTTTGTCCGTAACTGTATAAAACTACTGAGTAAAAAAATATACATCTACGACGTTTTTTACGTAAAAAGTCACGGAAATGAATATTTTTTCACTCTGTAGTTTTATACAGGTACGGACGCAAAGTTATTACTCCAAAACACTTAAAACACTTTGAATAAGAAGACTAAGGAAGGAGCATATCAAAAATCTTAGGTACACCGCGATGGGCCTCAAATATGGCCGACTTAAATTCCGGTTTATCAGTGTCGTTCTAAATTTATTTAAAAAATGTAAAACTATGATTTGGGTAGACGTGGGGTAGACTCAATAATTTGTTGTTTTATTTTACGTTGTGAATAAATGTTGGTAGTTATTAAAATTGTTATAAAAATATATAATTCTAATAAAAATAGATGTTATAATAAGTATTTATTAACACAAACATCCGATACGCTACTGAAGCAGGTAAGTCAAATTAACGTATCTAAATTCTTTGACAAGTAATAAATAAAAGCTAAAATGCAAGAAAAATATATAATTTAGTTAATTTAAGTGAATTTTATAAATGATCGGTTTACTACACGTATGTATATTATATAGTCACTTACTAGCGAAAAGTTGTTCCATTATTTCACTCAGTTTTTGCAGAGATATACCGCACGCTACACAACCAACTATTTTAGAATCTTTTTCGATAAATCGCGATAGTGTCACTGTTAATTTAAGTTCTGTCACAATTTCCATCTAGATTTACTACCTTTATACAACTATCAGTAGTAGAATAAATAATAAATAACATAAAATAAGCTCCGTAAAGACTGACAAATCCACAAAATTTCAAATCAAATTCAAATGTGTCAAATGAATCGTCAAACAGAACTGTCAAGGATCCCCACCCTAGAGAACTTTTATGGTGGCTTTTCCGTCCACCATGCATGAATACATGGATAGCATTATGCTCCTTCCTCAAAGTATTGACCTCAAAATCAAATTTCTCATGTCAAAAAACTCCCAGACACAAATTTTCATCAAAATATTGACGTTACTTCAGAAATTATTTGGAAAAAATCGCAATAAAAATAAAACTTCTACACCCTGTATCTCCGAAACTATGCATTTTAGGACATACATTTATACGAAGTTTTTTACTTATTTTTGTCTGCAAAATATGCTGCCGAAGTTTCCGGAATACAGTTCGGACCACCCTGTAGATGTATTCTTAATTCAAAGATTATTTCTGTATATTTGATTTTGTTTTCTTTTGCAGACTTTAGCGAAAAAAGTGTTTATCAATGATCCGAACAAGCTCCAAACGATTTTCACCAATCACCAAGCGGAGCATCCCGGATCAAATATCAACCAAAATAGTTAATAACTAATTGACGTATGTAAGCTACAACTATTTATTCATTAGCTACAACTATATTTTATACACATCAAGACTGAACCGACATAGGGAAAAGCTAGATAAACAAGATTTATACATTTTATACGTATTGTTTTTAGCGAGAGCTAGAGCTAGAATTTTATAAAATATAACAATTATTTTTTTAGTAAAGAACGATAAATAGATAGAAACCGCGAAAGACATTATTATTTAGTAATCCTTTATTGTAGAATTATACATAACTAATTATATTAAAAATATGTTAAATGACCCGAAATGAGATGATTTTTTTATAATACTAGTTCAAAACTTTAAATGTTCCAGTTATCGAGAAAAAAAACGGCGTCGAAGACAGTCAAGGTCAAGCCCTAAACGGCCTTAAGGATAGGTTGTAATTTATTTTTATATTGAATAAAAACGATTTTCAAAAACGAGTCTAGAGATTGACCTTGCCAAATTATGATCGGTTTCATTCCCAGCCCTCTTTGACGCCGTTTTTTTTTTTCGATCATACGGTAATCATATAAAATATTATACAGGGTGTCTCTGAAAATACGAGTAAACGATAGATCTGGACAAAAGAAACATATATTTTCTCTTAACCGTTTTTATGATAACTTGTGACACTGTATATTGAGACACCGGGTATAGTATCAGAAACGAAATATTTTGAACGTTTAGAAGATTTGAGTTGGTATTTTGATTGTTATGGTTGAATCGTGAGAGTGTGGTAGTTTAAAAAAGATATTGTACACTTTGATTTTTTTATTGTATCAAAATTAATACAAATTTTCATATACAGGGTGTTTCAAAACAAATGCGAAAAACTTCAGGGGGTGATTCCTTGTTCAAAATAAAGGGTAGTTTGCTTTATAAACGTTGGGTCAAAAGTCAACCGTTAGGGAGATATCGCGGTACAAAGATGGCGGAAAAATAATGTTTTTATTTTTTATCTTGAAAACGAAAAGAGATAGACTAATGAAATTTTACGGAAGCATTACTGTTATGAAAACACACTTTCTGGTAATTTTTTCACTTTTTTAAAATGAGTGGAAGGGGTTGAAATAAACTATTCCTATCATTCTTGTTAATGAAATTTAAAGAAAAATCTTATCAAACACATGCAAAAAAAAATAATTTTGATAGTTTAGTTTGTTTAGAAACTTTTTTATCTCTTGTGTTTTTTTGATAAAACTCACCGATTTAAAATTAAAAAATAAAATGTAAAGCATTACATGTCAGGACAAAAAACATTTTTAGATAAAGAATCTAGTGGGCAGCTGTAATTTTTTTAGGAAAAATCTAGTCGGCCGCTGTCACTTTTTAGGATGTTTCTAATATTGTTTTATTTGACATTACCCTACTGCAATACGTTACTATCTAGATTATTATTATTTACATTATTATCACTAGATTCTTAATCTAAAAATATTTTTAGTCCTGACATGTAATGCTTTACATTTTATTTTTTAATTTCAAATCGGTGAGTTTTATAAAAAAAATACAAGAGATAAAAAAGTTTCTAAACAAACTAAACTATCCAAATTAATTTTTTTGCATGTGTTTGATAAGATTTTTCTTTAAATTTCGTTAACAAGAATAATAGGGGTAGTTTATTTCAACCCCTTCCACTCATTTTAAAAAAGAGAAAAAATTACCAGAAAGTGTGTTTTCATAACAGTAATGCTTCCATAAAATTTCATTAGTCTATCTTTTTTCGTTTTCAAGATAAAAAATAAGAACATTATTTTTCCGCCATCTTTGTACCGCGATATCTCCCTAATGGTTGACTTTTGACCCAACGTTTATGAAGCAAACTACCCTTTATTTTGAACAAGGAATCACCCCCTGAAGTTTTTCGCATTTGTTTTGAAACACCCTGTATACATGAAATATCGATACATTATCGATAGTTTTCGATACTAGAACATCCCTACTACTAGAACAAACTATTGAGGATAAAAAAAATAAAAAAAATCAGAGTGTACAAAATAACAATGTTTTCTATTGTGTCAAATTCTTTAATTATTGTGATAAATTATATTTTAGTGTTAATACTATAGGTAAGCATTAGATTTTTTTATATATATGTAAATAATGGGTACGATTGAACTAACTGAGATTAGTCAAAAATTGAGTTTTATGTCTTCAGAACGATATATAAGTTATTTTTTGCATTTCTTTTTTTATTGTCGGGATCTGTACGGAAGTTTTATTTTTTTAGAACGTGTTCAGTTTTTTTCCTGTTTTTTTTTTGTTATAGGTATTACAGTAAAAATAAATGAAAGGGCCTTATATACTGTAGAGATACTGTTTTTTACAAAAAAAAACGTCTTAAAGTTTTAACCGAAAACTTTAAAATATTGTAATAAAAAACGATGTCACAGTAGTCAGTTACTAGGAAATCTTCTAAATACGGACCATAAAATGCAGTGTTACTATACACCATCTCAATGTCAACACAAGAAAAACTCTTGTGATAACTTTTCTAACGCCTACCGTGACATTAGTTTTTATTTTGTGTTTATTCATCACACAGTATATTATGCCCTTTTAAAAAATTATGTATTAATTTAAAAAAAACAACACGCCTGTGGTATATTATTCTGATGTTATCAGGTTATCGTAAAATATAAGAAAAGAGCAGAATCATATCTTATAGTGCCAAAAACTTTTGTTGCTTTTCTATGTAAAAATATATCAACAATTACAGTATATCTCCTGTAGATATTTTGAATTTATTAAAGTCTTTACAGAAATCTATAATTTGTACAATAATGTATAAATTATAATAAATTTAGGCCTCAGCATGAGTGGCCTAAATACTTTGATATACAATTTGTTAAAACGCTTTAAATAGAACTAGCAACACGTATAACCTCTTCAGGGAGAGATTCTCTCGCCGAATAGACTATATATGTTATGTAGAAGTATAAATAACGATGTAAACAGTCACTTATATCAAATTTTAACTGATTTTTAACATATAATGATCTGCCATAAAAATATATTTAAAAAAAACTCTTTATAGGCAAGATATACTAAATAAACATATTTTTCTACAAATTAGTAAGAGTAAATAGAAAAATTAAGCATATAGAAAACATGATTTCTCTTGTGTATAACAAAGATACAAGAAATGTTTATAAAAAATTAATATAATATGACTATTGAATTTAAGATTAGTAGAATTTTACTTATAAATGTCAATTTTATGACAAAATAAGGCCTGACGAAGACAATTCAGTGTGAAATCAATTGCACTGAATTGTGTAACTAATTGAGCAGTTAAAGTGCCACATTTCTTCATATTTTTGAAGCTATTTGCCTTTCTTTTTTTTTATTTTATATAAGATGATTATTCTACCTGTTTTTTAGGTATGCTGTAAATTTTTTTGTTAATTTTAAGTATGTAGGCCTCAAAGGAAAGTAAGTGTAAACTAGAAATATGTATATTACGTTGTTTTTTTCTGTATATATCTGTTTATAAGGAACCCGTGTCTATAAATTGTTAATTTTTGTTTTAATTATTGTTAAAAAAGGTCAGAATTTGTTAAATAAATTTTGTTTCAAATACGAATCTGACTTTTACTGCTTTAAAAATAAAGATTTCAGTCATATAAATAAACATTTATTTTAGTCTAGCTTACATTACTTTACACAGTTCGTTAACTTATCTATCAATCAGAATTAAACTTATTAGCCCCAGACGTCTTCGGATCGGCCAAACTTAAATATTATCGATGCAATACATATTAAAACATTGTGTAGAAACAGAGAAACTCCTGGAGATTTCACATCTAAAAAAAATAAACGAGTTATAATAAGAATATCTTATTGAAACCGTACCTTTGTTAATGTAAACTGCGAAAAGGATACTGCACGCCGCAATGACAGCCGCGAAGCCCATAACAAACCCTAAGAATATCCAAATTCTTGCTCCTCTGGTTCCCAAACAGCCCCCTTCGTACGTATCTCCACTCATCTTGAATAAAAACGCATTCTTTATATAGGTAAAAGCGGAAATTTTCCCAACATCGTTACCTGTGCATTCGACACAGAATTGACCATGATCAGGGATATAGTTCCTGCCACACCGCACATCCAATAGCCTGCTGGGATCTGGTTTGGAAGAACCGTAGCCGAATCGATAATTATCCACCAACCAGTGAAAAACTGAAATTAGTTCCAGAGTTTAGAAAAATGTTAAAGGAAAATAGTGGGATGAAATAACTTGCCAAAAAGCCTGACAACATGGAGGCATAAGCGTTTCTTTTGTCCCCCTCGAACCAAATACACGACGGCATGCTTAAGTTCGCGAAACAATCAGTAAGACCCATTTTTTAAAGCGATATTTTACTTAAATCGCGAAAATAAAACGTAAACTTAGAACAATAAAAACAATTTTTGACATTTGGAAACGAACCAAATTTATGATCAGTGCTGCCAACCACGTTGCCAACTGTTTTTTAGCTTAACTCCTTTAAGCCAATTTTATGTACCTGATACTGATAATTGTTATGGCCAAAATAAATTTTCAAAGAAGAAACGAAACATTAACCATACATTAACTACAAAATATTTTTGGCGGGAATATGGAATGGAGTATGGAGTGTGTTTTTGTTAATAAGTTATAGAGTTAATAATATAGTTAATTATTTTATGGTGTAGGCGGGTATTAAATATAATTATAATGTCTGGTGAGGTAACAACAGGAAAAACACTCGTAGATCTCCTACAAACTTACTACCACAGGTTATTCCCTTCTTTACCTCTTTATCACTGGTTAAGTTATGGTTTGTATTGGATACAATATTTATTAATGAACATTTATCTGATATTTTTTTGTAGGAAAGGCTTTCACGTTCTCTAAAAGAGAAATATCCTTTACGCTACCAGGAGATGTGTATATACGATACCTATCGTACGATACACACCGAGATTTCGTAGACGATTTGTATAAAAAGGTACCAGTAAAAATAGATATTGGATGCATATACCTTACTAGACCAAAAGAGAAAAATGCGCTAACTAAGATAACTCCTGAGTCAAAGGAGATAGTTTTCGATATAGATATGACCGATTACGATGATATTAGAACATGTTGTTCCGGAGCAAATGTATGTATAAAATGCTGGAAGTGGATGGCGATAGCCTGTAAAATTATTGATACAGCATTAAAGGAGGATTTTGGCTTTAACCACGTATTATGGGTGTTTTCTGGTAGAAGAGGTACAAGAAAAAAAATTACCTGAAAATAACACATTCTTACATTAAGTTTTTTAGGTATTCATGCCTGGATCTCGGATAGTTCAGCTAGAGATTATGATGATAACATCAGATTGGGTATAGTAGAGTATTTAACTGTGGTAAAAGGAGGCTTGGGTACAACAAAAAAAGTACAGTTGTCTCAGATACATCCTTCATTAAAGTAAATTTGTTAAAAAAACTTATCTAGCATAACTTTAATTAAAAATGTGAATTTTTTAGAAGGGCATTAGCAATAATCGATCAGTATTTTATAGAGGATATTGTAAAAGCTCAGGATATTCTGGGAACACAGCAAAGGCTAGACAACTTTTTGAAGGTTATCGATGTTGAAATAAGAAAGCCGATTGGGGATAGCATGGGGCAATGCAAAAGCTCAGAGGAGCGCTGGCAGGCGTTTGAACATACTTTTAAAGATCTTCTGCGAAAAGTAAGCAAATATATATTTTTTATACAGGGTTATTCACCTCATTTGGCACGGAGTATTGTAGCCAAACGATTAGGACTATTAGAGCTAGAATTTAAAATTATTTGCAAAAGGTTGTCCCAAATTAATAAAAAATATCAAGTTTGTGCTTTTCTAAATTTGTTTATGAAGTCTAAATTATAAGAAAATGCATTTTCTACGAAAACTTGAAGAGATAGGTCAGAATTTGATAATACAATTTGGTAGACAATTAAATTGTGCATCTGGTTTATGATATTAACGTTACTTCAGAAATTATTTGGAAAAAATCAAAATAACAATGAAATTTCTACACCCTGTGTCTCCGAAACTAAGCATTTTAGGACATACACTTACAGGAACTTTTTTACTTATTTTTATCTACAGAATATTCTGCCAAAGTTTCCAGAATACAGTGTATATTTTTTTATTTATTTCTTTATTTTTATTTTTTTATTGTTTATTTTTGTATATTAGGGTAACGTTCCAAAAGACGAATGCTATCTTTTTGAAGAGTTAAAACTGTTCTATGCTTATCCTCGCCTGGACCTAAACGTTACGAAGGGGATAACTCACTTGTTAAAATCTCCTTTCTGCGTTCATCCGAAGACTGGGAAAATATGCGTTCCGTTTGATGTGAAAGAAGTGGATAATTTTGATCCAAAAAATGTGCCTACTCTTGAGTAAATATCGTACCATCCACACTCAAAAAACTATAAAATTGAAGTAATATTTTTTAGGCAATTGTTCAATGAACTTGACGCTTACAATAAAAAAGCCAAAGAACTAGAGGAAGCGGCTATGGAGGCTAAAGAAACGGCCACCAATAAGGTCAAGATAAAGGATTACAGAAAAACGAGCCTTCTAGGACCGGTAAATGTGTTCAAAGAATTCCTGAGAAATATGGGGAAGAACGGGGCAAACAAAACAGCCGAAACGGATCTCACTTTTTAAGTTATGTTGATTTATTATTTAATTGATTTATTATGTTTTTTTTTACTTGATTGAATTATAACGTTTTTTTTCTAAATTTGAGTTTTTTGTAGGCAACCCACTGTATCCGTCTCATGGTAAAGGTCGGCAACCTACCTCTAGACTGGACACTTGCCAAATGACCTATCTACCGGCCGGATAGTCCTGGAGCTGTGACCGCAAAACCAGACTGACCTGTCTAAGTTAACGCCATTAAAAAAAAAAGAAAGAAGAAGAAAATCTGTATTAAATCTGTGGTTGCAAATGCTTAAGACCCGAAATATGAAAAAGAAGAAGAACGCCTGTGGCGCCATTGTGGAAAAAGTGAGAAAATTTTGAACTAAAATGTGTCAATTTTTTTTATATCAATGCAAAAATATTCTAAATCTTGTTTTTGTAAGTATAAAACGAATTGAACGGTTACAAAATCATTATAAATCTAATAAACACTTTATTTCTGTAGAATAAATATTTTCTTTTAGGCACAGCATTATTTATGCAGCAAAAGATGATCATGGCGGCGACATTTTCCATTGTGGGAAGTTCTTTTACAATTTTTCTGATTTTCTGGTAGAAAAACTGGTTTTTCTGTGCACTATTTGAGCTTATTTTCTCCCTTGAGACCTCTTTAATCTCCTGTAACTGTAAGTACCCATTGTTTTGATGCTTTTTATAGTTTATTTCACTCTCAAATATTTCAATTACATCATCATATAGCTTATATATTTTTCCAGTTTTCCTTTTCGAATACGAGTATACGGAAATATAGATACATTCCTCGATGTCTCTATTGTACAATAGAAATAAAGTTATTTAGAATATTGCTTTATATTTAGGTAGAAACATTTGGTATTTTTTCGGCCATTTTTTATTGGTAGAGATTAAAGATGTTTTTTATTTCTAAACTAATATTTTGTCCAGGCAAACAAGTATTTTCTACTTCTTTTAGAATAAGTCAGTGTTAGTATACCCAATAATATTACACAAGAGAATGATGTCTTTTTGCATCCTTCCACAGAAGAGGAGACCTGGATCATCCTCTAATTTGAATGTTCGGCCATCGATAACCTGCATAGCAAATAGCAAGTACAGGTACCAAGGGTTAAATTAGCTGCAAGAAGGTAATGTCACATTAGGAGACAAAGATTTATAAGAGGAGGTTTATATAAAAGTTCAGCTCCATCTTCAATTACTGCTGTACAAGAAATTCAAAGTAAGTTTTATTTTTATTAATATGTTTCCAGATTGTCTTTACAAGAGGAGACACATTTTATTACTAACATTTTGAGTAAAATGCATTCTTTATAAAACATTTTGCTTGTTCTAAAATGGTTAATCCCATTTATACTTTTCCAAATTTCCATACAGTTAAGAAACATAAAAAATTATGAGAATATCTATGGTAATAGCCCTGTAATAGTATCTCGTTTTCATTCTTTGATAATTGTTTATTATTGATTTAATGATTAAAAATTATTTTGTTATAATAATAAAAATATTTTGCTAGATATAATTCACTAAACTTTAATAGTAAAGTGTTTATTTTGCTTTGGGTGTTTTAAATATGTTATGTTTTGTTTTAGATAATATCTATTATTTTTCTATTATTAACATATTATGTTAATAATACCGCACAAGAGAACAGTGTCTTTCTGCATCCTTCCACAGAAGAAGAGACCTAGGTCATCCTCTAACTTTGATGTTCGGCCATCGAGAACCTGCGCAGCATACATGGGTACCCAAGAAAGTTTCCACCCTCTATGTCTAGGAGCCGGGTGATGCTTAATCTTCGACCAAGGGTTAAATCAGCTGCAGGAAGATGAATACGCATCAGGAGTCAAAGATTTATGATAAATGGAGAATAGCATGACATAGTTTGCCTCTATCTTGTATTTTTAATCACTACATTACAAGGAATTAAAAGTAAGTTATACTTTAATTAATATATTATAGAAAAAAAAATGTGTTTGTAATAGTTTTTGTTTTGTTTAATCAAGGTATTAAATAAACCTAAAAAAATTAGGAAAGTACACGTAAAATGAATTAATTTTGAATTTAGTGTTTGATTTACTGGTTGCCTATCCTTCACAAAAATAAATTTAACATCAATAAGATAAAATCAAAGAACAATGTTAATTTCTTTTACATTTTAGGAATGAAAAATTTATTGGATTTTTTTTCAGATCATTTACAAAAGTATTGAAAAACTGTGGCGGCAAGAGTTTTTGTGGAAATCTGCACTTAGTTTTCATGGAGTTATTTGAATGGTACTTGGCAACACAGCACTGCATATATTACTTCACTGAGGCACTGGATGTGTTCAAATAATTTTAACCCTTAAAAGATGTAAGTTTTTTTTGCAATACAGTATTTTCTATTAGTACCACATAGAGAAACGCGTGTATGTCCCCAGATTGCCTTTAAAAGACAAAAACCTTTTTTATTATTCACGTTTTGAGTAAAATGTATTCTTTATGAAAAAATCCAAGTTCTAAAATTATCTATCCTATTTATACTTTTCCAAATTTCCATACAGTTTTAGAGGAAAATAAGAAAATATATGAAGATATACTTAGTTGAATTTATTGATATGGTTATTATTAATTCTGATTAAAGTCACATTTTTTTACTGTTTTAATATGTTAAAGAAGTACAAACTTTATTTAGTTCAATGCCGAACAGAAAAGTTAATTATAAATTTTGTATGTCTTTAACATTTTGCAAAATATATCACATTAATAAAGTATAATATTTAATCTCATTCTTCTTGATAGGAACACGTTTTGATGTTTAGGACTTGTAGAAAAAATTCTACTAAGTATATCTACATTAATTTTTTATTTTTCTCTTAAACAATATGGAAAAAGTATAAACGATTAAACATTTTATAACAAGCAAAAATTTTTAATCAAGTAAAAATGCATATTTCTGGTCTTAATTTTTTTTTTGTTTAGTAACAATAACTATTAAATAAATCTGAACGAAGAGGGTAGGCATAAAATATATTAATTTTGAATTTATCATATTTATCAAATGTATTTGTTTTCCAAACTATAATTTTAGTCGATATAGAAAAATAATATATTTTTGAGGAAATTAGTTTATTGTTTTCTTTCTAATTTAACAAATAAAAAATTTCAGGTTTTTGCTCTACTTTTCAATATTAAAAAGAATATTCTGTGGCAATGTGCAGGTGATTTTCAACAAACACTTATAGGGAATGGAATGTATCAACAGTACCAAGCAGGTACCACTTTGCCGAGATATAGGCTGGCTTCAGGCAACAATTCGCCTTAAAAAGATGTAAGTTACATTTTTTTTTTTTGGTAGATTTAAGGTATGAAACAAGGGTATGAAGTACTCAGATGTTATTAGTGTTATTGAAAAAATTTAAACTTCTTATTTTATTATAAGAAATTATATTCATAAAATTTAGTTCTGGCTTAGTACTAGTGTTTTTATGTTACACAATTGCACAAGAATATAAGTACAGACTGCCTAAACATTTTTTTTAATCATATTTTTTGTAGACCGTTCAAAAAGTTTTCTGTTGGTATGTTTAGTAAATATTGTTTGTATGATGGAAACAATATTATACAGTTATTTCTGTTTATAGGTTTATGGTACTGGTTCCGTAACAACTGCAGATGTTATTGGTGCTCCTACTTATTTGATCTTCCTGTATATTCCCCATTGAAGATATAAAACAGAACGCGGACTTAGGATAGGGACACTTCATTTTGATCACACTGATCTCATTTTTTTAATTCTACGATTTTTTTAAAGTAAAATTTAGATAAAATGATTAAATTCTGTTATTTGTACATAAATTCTTAGTACAAACGCAAATGTTTTTACATAATTTAAGTTAAAATTCAAATATTTATATTTTTAAAACTAGTATCTCTTCAAGAATATATTTTAGTCAATTCTAGTTGTAAAAAATTACGGAATTTAAAATTATCTAAATTTTATTTATTGATTATTTGCAGTGTTAACACAACAGTGTTCCACACAGCCTGTTCAGAAAGTGGAAAATATATTACAAAATACAACTTAATAAAAAATAGATATTTTAAATTGGATTCCAAAATAATTTTTAATGGACCGGTTGTGTGGGCACTCTGTATATGTCATATACCGTTATATTAGTGATTCTCTCTTTAAAAAAGGATTTTAAATTGATATTTTTTAAATCTGCATTAGAAAAGCAAAATTTTACTAAATGGCGAATGCGCCAGGACATAAAAATAATTGTAATTAACAGATTTTTTAAAAAATGTAAAAATAAAATTGAGATAAGATAAATTCTGTAATTTAAATATTAATTTCAGTATAAATGCGTTTATTTTTATATATTTTAAGTAACAATATTTTAATTTAACCGAAATAATATTTGTATATTTTTTAAACTGTGTCTTTTCTTAAATATGTCTTAGTTATAAAAAATTACAGGATTCAAAATTATCTAAATTTTATTTATCGATCATTTGCAATGTTAATGCTTGATAAAGGAATACGGGGTGTTCCACACAACTTGTTCAGAAAGTGGAAAATATATTTCAAAATACAACTTAATAAAAAATAAATATTTTAAATTGAATTCCAAAATAATTTTTAATGAATTTGTTGTGTGGGCACTCTGTAAATGTCATATACCGTTATATTAGTGATTCTCTCTTTAAAAAAAGAATTTTAAATTGATATTTTTTAAATCGGCATTAAAAAAGCAAAATTTTACTAAATGGCGAACGCGCCAGGAAAATAGAATATTGATATTAACAGATTTTTAAAAAAAATGTAAAAGTAAAATTTAGATAAGATAAATTATGTAATTTAAATATTAATTTCAGTATAAATGCATTTATTTTTATATACTTTAAGCAACAATATTTTAATTTAACCGAAATAATATTTGTATATATTTTAAACTGTAACTTTTATGAAATATTTCTTAGTTATAAAAATGCAGGATTCAAAATTATCTAAATTTTATTTATCGATCATTTGTAACGTAATGCTTTATAAAAGAATACGGGGTGTCCCACACAACTTGTTCAGAAAGTGGAAAATGTATTTCAAAATATAACTTAATAAAAAATAAATATTTTAAATTGAATTCCAAAATAATTTTTAATGAATTTGTTGTGTGGGCACTCTGTATATGTCATATACCGTTATATTAGTGATTCTCTCTTTAAAAAAAGAATTTTAAATTGATATTTTTTAAATCGGCATTAAAAAAGCAAAATTTTACTAAATGGCGAACGCGCCAGGAAAATAGAATTATTGAAATTAACACATTTAAAAAAAAAGTGTAAAAATAAAATTGAGATAAGATAAATTCTGTAATTTAAATATTAATTTCAGTATAAATGCGTTTATTTTTATATATTTTAAGTAACAATATTTTAATTTAACCGAAATAATATTTGTATATTTTTTAAACTGTGTCTTTTCTGAAATATGTCTTAGTTATAAAAAATTATAGGATTCAAAATTATCTAAATTTTATTTATCGATCATTTGTAACGTAATGCTTTATAAAAGAATACGGGGTGTTCCACACAACTTGTTCAGAAAGTGGAAAATGTATTTCAAAATATAACTTAATAAAAAATAAATATTTTAAATTGAATTCCAAAATAATTTTTAATGAATTTGTTGTGTGGGCACTCTGTATATGTCATATACCGTTATATTAGTGATTCTCTCTTTAAAAAAAGAATTTTAAATTGATATTTTTTAAATCGGCATTAAAAAAGCAAAATTTTACTAAATGGCGAACGCGCCAGGAAAATAGAATATTGATATTAACAGATTTTTTAAAAAAATGTAAAAGTAAAATTTAGATAAGATAAATTCTGTAATTTAAATATTAATTTCAGTATAAATGCATTTATTTTTATATACTTTAAGCAACAATATTTTAATTTAACCGAAATAATATTTGTATATATTTTAAACTGTAACTTTTATGAAATATTTCTTAGTTATAAAAATGCAGGATTCAAAATTATCTAAATTTTATTTATCGATCATTTGTAACGTAATGCTTTATAAAGAATACGGGGTGTCCCACACAACTTGTTCAGAAAGTGGAAAATGTATTTCAAAATATAACTTAATAAAAATAAATATATTTTAAATTGAATTCCAAAATAATTTTTAATGAATTTGTTGTGTGGGCACTCTGTATATGTCATATACCGTTATATTAGTGATTCTCTCTTTAAAAAAAGAATTTTAAATTGATATTTTTTAAATCGGCATTAAAAAAGCAAAATTTTACTAAATGGCGAACGCGCCAGGAAAATAGAATTATTGAAATTAACACATTTAAAAAAAAAAGTGTAAAAATAAAATTGAGATAAGATAAATTCTGTAATTTAAATATTAATTTCAGTATAAATGCCTTTATTTTTATATATTTTAAGCAACAATATTTTAATTTAACCGAAATAATATTTGTATATTTTTTAAACTGTCTTTTCTGAAATATGTCTTAGTTTTAAAAACTTACAAGATTCAAAATTATCTAAATTTTATTTGTTAAATCATCTGCAATATTAATGCTCTATAAATAATACAAGGTTTCCTAGAGCAAAATAAAACACTAATTCGCTACAACACATCAAAACACTTTACTTTTAAACACTGAACGCGCCTTTCGCTAACCGCGTTAGCATCATCAGTAGATGAATAAAATTAGACTATTATCTGCAAATTAAACGTTTTTATAGTCGCTCGGTTGGTACTGACTAAGCCTGGCAAAATTAATTAACGAGACTAGAGCAATAGGAACAGAGACCTGGAAAGAAAATATTATCTCTGTTCATATTATCTTTAAGTTTATTTATTTTTGACGCTTTCATAAGCACCTAATTCCCTGTAATTTGAGACTTTTTTGATTAATTTTAAATTATTAACATCTGTACAATGATTTTTTTCAAAAATATATTGAGAAACGCAAGATTTATCCGCTCTACCATATCTGAGTCCTGCGTTCTTTAAATCTAGTTAATGTTGATCGTCTAGTTAGCGCAATATATTTTTGATTGAATTTTTGATACGTGAAACTTCAAAACACCCGACCTTTCCAGTGGAGGTGTTTTATCTTTAAGATTACCTAATGGTTGTAATTTATTTTTAGCGCTATATACAAATTTATAATTAACATTCTTAAATGTTTTTTAAGCACGGGATAGCACCACAGGTCCCTGCAGTGGCGAAAACACTAGGTCCCTCCTGGGGCAAAATCACCAGGTAAAACGGTACTGAAGTATAGTTTGACGTATCTTTCTTCACTTCTCCTATAGGCAGACATCAGAATTTTATAAGGGGTGTCCAAGGTCTCTTCTTGTAGGTGGTCGTTAAGTGCTGAGTGTGTATTATTAATAACAGTGGTACCAGGTCCCTGCAGGTCCCCCATCGCCAGGTCCCTGCAGTGGCAAATTCACCAGGTCCCTGCAGTAGCGAAATCGCCTGGTCCCTCCTGGGGCAAAATCACCAGGTCTCTGCAGTGGCAAAATCACTTGGCACTTCTATGGCAAATTCACCAGGCCCCTGCTGTAGCAAAACCACCAGGACCCTGCAGTGGCAAATCACCAGGTCCCTGCAGTGGCGAAATCACCAGGTCTCTGCAGTGGCAAATCACTAGGTCCCTGCTGTGGCAAAATCACCAGGTCCCTGATGTGGCAAAATCATCAGGTCCCAGCAGCAGCAAAATCACCAGGTCCTTGCAGTGGCAAAACCACTTGGCACTTCTATAGCAAAATCACCAGGTCCCTGCTGTGGCAAAATCATCAGGTCCCAGCAGTAGCAAAATCACCAGGTCCCTGCAGTAGCAAATCACTAGGTCCCTGCTGTGGCAAAATCACCAGGTCCCTGAAGGTGCAAAATCATCAGGTCCCAGCAGCAGCAAAATCACCAGGTCTTTGCAGTGGCAAAATCATTTGGCACTTCTATGGCAAAATCAACAGGTCCCTGCTGTGGCAAAATCATCAGGTCTCAGCAGTAGCAAAATCACCAGGTCCCTGCAGTAGCAAATCACTAGGTCCCTGCTGTGGCAAAATCACCAGGTCCTTGCAGTGGCAAAATCACTTGGCACTTCTATGGCAAAATCACCAGGTCCCTGCTGTGGCAAAATCATCAGGTCCCAGCAGTAGCAAAATCACCAGGTCCCTGCAGTAGCAAATCACTATGTCCCTGCTGTGGCAAAATCACCAGGTCTCTGATGTGGCAAAATCATCAGGTCCCAGCAGCAGCAAAATCACCAGGTCCTTGCAGTGGCAAAATCACTTGGCACTTCTATGGCAAAATCACCAGGTCCCTGCTGTGGCAAAATCATCAGGTCCCAGCAGTAGCAAAATCACCAGGTCCCTGCAGTAGCAAATCACTAGGTCCCTGCTGTGGCAAAATCACCAGGTCTCTGATGTGGCAAAATCATCAGGTCCCAGCAGCAGCAAAATCACCAGGTCCTTGCAGTGGCAAAATCACTTGGCACTTCTATGGCAAAATCACCAGGTCCCTGCTGTGGCAAAATCATCAGGTCCCAGCAGTAGCAAAATCACCAGGTCCCTGCATTGGCAAAATCACTTCATCTTTCAGTACCGTTTGACGAGCTATCCCGTGGTTAAAAAAAATTTAAGAATGTCAATTATAAATTTGTATATAGCTCTAAAAATAAATTACAACTATTAGGTAATCCTAAAGCTAAAACACCTCCACTGGAAAGGTCGGGTATTTATGAAATTCCATGTATCAAAAATTCAATCAAAAATATATTGCGTTAACTAGACGATCAATATTAACTAGATTTAAAGAACACATGACTCAGATATGGGTAGAGCGGATAAATCTTGCGTTTCTCAACATTTTTTTTGATACAGATTATTCTATAGATGTTAATAATTTAGAATTAATTAAACAAGTCCCAAATTACAGGCAATTAGATGCATATGAGAGCGTCAAAATAAATAAATATAAAGATAATACGAATAGAGATAATATTTCCTTTCAATTCTCTATTTCTACTGTTCTAGTCTCGGTAATTAATTTTGCCACACTTGGTCAGTTACCAAACGAGCACCTATATAAACGCTCAATTTGTATATATTAATTTATTTTTAATCATCTGCTGATGATACTAACATGGTTAACAAAACGCGCGTCCAATATTAAATGTAAAGTAAGTTATTGTGGTTAATTAGTATTTTATTTTGATAATTAACAATATTACTTAATCTATTCTATTAATTATTTAGTGTAATGATCAACGGGTTACAGATATAAGCCTTGTATATAAGCTATTTATTAAAGGTAATGCAATATTTAAGTAGGCCATGAAAGCCATTGAATGTTACTGCTGAAAATAATATACAGTCTTTTTTTTAAATAAGTGTATCACCCTGTATAATAATTTTGTAGTGTATATCCTGAATACTGTCCACGTCAAATATATTTATACTTGTTATATGAATAAAAAACTTATTAAAAATAATTGTGATTTTATTTCTCCAAGGAAAATAGACAAAGTCGATGAAAATCTCGGATTTGTATCAGGAATACATAAGAGCGAGGAGATAAATACTATTTCGTCACTAAAAATCAAGGCGGTAAAAACTACCTCTTTGCACTTATGTGTTCCTGATAGAAATGTGTGATTTTAGGCAAGGATTAAAAATATTCCTCCAATTTTCATTAAAGACTGAAAAATTAAGAATTTTGTATCAGGAGTACATAAGAGTAAGGAGGTAAAAATAAACGAAATAAATTATTGACAAAATGGTGAATGTAACTGTCTACTCCTGGTATCGAAAAATACCTCCTCGCACTCATATGTTCCTGATACAAATTCAAAATTTCTCCGTTTTTGACAAAACCGACCAAAAATAATTTCGACCTGGCAAAAATTGGAGTACCCGACCAACGAGTTAGAATGAGTTAGATTTTTTCGAAAAACGGCCATAACTTCTAAACTAAAAGAGCTATCGAGGAACGGAAGTCGGCATTCGATTCGCCTTTCAACCCTCTATAAGGGTGCAAAATTAGGGCGCGATCGGAGACAAAAAAAAAGTTTCGGCAAAAATGAAGGAAGGTTAACCCCTTACCTCATTTTTCGCCAAAAATTTTTTTTGCCTCCGATCGCGCCCTCGTCTTGAGCCCTTATAGAGGGTTGAAATGCCTATTGAAAGCCGAGTTCCGTTCCTCTCTAACCCTTATAGTTTCCGAGATATTAAGGGTTGAAGTTTGGAACCGAGGTCGAAGTGCTAGAGATAGCAGAAATATCGTTGATCGATGCTTTATTTAAATGTGGTACTAAATTTAATAATTACCTCTTCACCCTTATGTGTTCCTGATAAAAATCGGCGATTTTTGACCTGGTTTAAAAATGTCCGTGCAGTCTTTGACAAAAATTGAATTTTCTCGAATATGTATCAGGAGTACATAAGAGCGAAGAGGTAAATATTGGTACTGAATTTACTCCGTACCTCTTCACACTTATGTGCTCCTGATAGAAATTAGTGATTTTTGACGAGGATTAAAATTTTTCGTTTAATTTTTGTTAAAAGCTGAATTTTCTCGGATTTGTATCAGGAGTACATAAGAGCGAGGAGGTAATTGTAGGGTATTATTTTTATATAAAATAATGTCTATTCCAGAACAACTTGGTAAGGTGTTTAGTGATTAGAATATATTATTTCTGTGATAATTAAATTACTCTTTCTCTTTGTTCGGGATTAGACAGTATATTTTGGTTGAATAAAACTCATTTATTATTACGTATTATTTATTTTAATATTATATATTATTAACAAAGGGTAACTTAAAAAGTATAATACAAGGTGGTGAATCAAAATGAAATCGCATAATCGAAAAAGAAACAGCGTCAGCGATGGCTATGAAATGAAGATCGCTGTTATTTTGTATGCAAAATTATATGGGGAATGTCATCGATCCTCATTTCCAAGCCATCTGGACGTTTTTTTTTTCGATCATACGATATTATTTCTGCTTATACAATATGACAAAAAAAAACAGCGTCAGCGATGGCTATGAAATGAAGATCGCTGTTATTTTATATGCAAAATTATGTGAGGAATGTCAGCGATCGTCATTTCCCAGCCAACTAGACGCCGTTTTTTTTTCTCGATCATATGGTATGTAGATTACTGCACAAAATAGAAAATATATTAACAATGAAATGCCTAAACATAAATAAATTATACCGTATGATAAAAAAATGGCCTCCGGTAGGCTTTGAAATAACAGTTGATGAAATTTCCAATATAAATTTACATATAAAATGACAGCGATCTTAATTTCCAAGCCATCTCCGACGACGTTTTTTTTCGATCATACGGTATTATTTCTACTTATATAATATGACAAAAAAACAGCGTCAGCGATGGCTATGAAATGAAGATCGCTGTCATTTTTTACATGTAAAAGTATATGGGGAATGTCATCGATCGTCATTTCCCAGCCAACTAGACGTCGTTTTGGTTTCGATCATACGGTATTATTTCTGCTTTATGACAAAAAAAAACAGCGTCAGCGATGGCTATGAAATGAAGATCGTTGTCATTTTATATGGAAAATTATATGGGGAATGTCATCGATCGTCATTTCCCAGCCAACTAGACGCCGTTTTTTTTTCGATCATATGGTATGTACATAGATTCCTGCACAAAATAGAAAATATATTAACAATAAAATGCCTAAACATAAATAAATTATACCGTATGATCGAAAAATATCAGTAGGCCTTGAAATAACAGTTGACGAAATTCCCAATATAAATTTACATATAAAATGACAGCGATCTTAATTTCCAAGCCATCTCCGACGACGTTTTTTTTCAATCATACAGTATTATTTCTGCTTATACAATATGACAAAAAAAACAGCGTCAGCGATGGCTATGAAATGAAGATCACTGTCATTTTATATGCAAAATTATATGGGGAATGTCATCGATCGACATTTCCCAGCCAACTAGACGCCGTTTTTTTTTCGATCATATGGTATGTACATAGATTCCTGAACAAAATAGAAAATATATTAACAATAAAATGCCTAAACATAAATCAATTATACCGTATGATCGAAAAAAAAATGGCATCCGGTAGGCTTTGAAGTAACGGTTTATAAAATTTCCAATATAAATTTACATATAAAATGACAGCGATCTTAATATACCTTGTATAAAACTAGGGATTTTGTACTAACAAAAATAACCTTGTGTAAAAAATTGTCTGTTACATGTAAAAAACAGTTTTTTACTTTATGATTCTAATCATCCATCCCTAGTGTTGATCACACTGTATATTTTTATTTTCGGACTCATTTATACACTTGGTAGTCTTTATATTATCATATACCGTATGATGGAAAAAAACGGCGTCCAGTTGGCTTGGAAATGAACATGATGATATTCCCCATATAATTTTACATATCCCCATATAAAATGTACGAGATCTTCATTTCATTGCCTTCGCTGACGCCGGTTTTTTTTCGATCATATTGTATTACAACTTAACTAAAACAAAATATTCAATAAATATCTTATCCATAACCAAAATAATTATAAATAGTACTCTAATTATTGAATATAACGTAACATTCTTTGGAGAATAAAAAATTATATTAATTTTAATGTAATTCCTCATAGAAAATTATTATATATCAATGCTCAAAGCCTACTTGATCAGAAAATTTTTTGATTGTAAAGTTTAAAGTTCCAAGAAACTGTTTAAAAATAAAATTAAAATTTTGATGGTCTTGAATTCTGTGTTTTTATACAACTGGAATTTACTAAAATATATTCTTGATGATTAAAAAAAAGTTTATGCATAAATTACAGAATTCAATGTCTCAAAATTTTCCTTTTACAATTTTCAAAACAAATAAAGACCAATTTCTTCTTCAAAAAGTCTTCTTCCAGATGTGTCTTGGTGAAGTGTCCAATGCAGGGAAAATAGAAGTACCAGTACCAGCTGCAGTTATTACAGAATGATTTCCAAAAATTTGATGATCTGAAATTAAAAAAAAAAATTAGACTAACTTAGACTCATACACATCAAGTTTTACATTACGTATTAATAATAAACATTTTTAGTTTAATTTACCTCAAATTATTTATTTAGTTCCTCTTCAATGATGAATTTTATTCTGAATCCACTGTTCAATGTTGAATTTAATGCAGCTACTGGCATTTTGAAGAGGGTGGTTGAGTTGAAGTGCAGCTGTCCCAAAGCAATACAATATCCCATTCAAAAACTTAATTTTAAAGGAAATTAGAAAAGGAACGAAAAGAAAACCAATTAGAAAATGTATCCAAAATTATACAGTTCTATATAGGCAATAAAAAGACTTGAAGTCTTAGAAAAATGGCAATAAAATAAATAATAATACAAATAAAAGAGAAGACTTCGAAATACAATCAATGTAAGAGAAAAATAATAAATTATATTTAAGAAAAATAAAATTTAGTCAGGGTTTTCCTCTGTATGGAATGATGAATTGAAAAAAGTCATGAAAATGATTCCAAAACTACAACTTGATATAGTCAATAGAAATAAAATACCTTAGAGAACTCTAGAGATACAGATTTTTTTTTTAATTAAATAATGGCTGATAACCCAGAAATACATAAATTAATAGAAGATTTCACGGAATGAAAATATGTGAGAC